GAACAGAAATATGCTCAGAATTATTATAGTTTCCTAAAAAATTATTAGAGAAAATCTTAAAAAATATTTGGAGAGAATGGTAAATACCTACCCAGTAGTACTCTCTCAGTATTACTAATTAATATACTGGAAGTTTCATTGGTCTTGTAAAAATTATCCCTTACTAAAAATTAGAAAATTTGGATACAGAATTTGTTACATCATTATTCCTTTATCAAAAGAGCATCATTCAGGGATCCCTGGGTGGCGCAGTGGTTTGGCGCCTGCCTTTGGCCCAGGGCGCGATCCTGGAGACCCGGGATCGAATCCCACGTCGGGCTCCCGGTGCATGGAGCCTGCTTCTCCCTCTGCCTGTGTCTCTGCCTCTCTCTCTCTCTCTGTGACTATCATAAATAAATAAAATTTTAAAAAATAAAAAAAGAGCATCATTCTTTCTCATCAAAAATCTTTATTTTTCTCATTTTGGATATTGTGCTATATTCTATAAAGTTTTTGTAGGTTTAATACTATTTAGATATAGTATATAAGTTTATTTTAATGCAGTATGTATTATTTAAATCTTACAAGAAATCTTAATTTAAAAATTATTCATAGATCACAGAGACTAAAGACCTTAATATTCTTTTAAGACTCACTTATATTTAGTTGCTGATTCACCATTATATTGTTTTTAGAAACAAATAACTTTTAGAAAAAATCATTTGCTAAATATCAAGCGTCAATTTATTGCAAAGAAGATGCATGCAAGTTAGCATTCCCTGATTGATGAGACACAGGAATGATCTTAAAGGTGCTGAAGGTAGTGATATAATTTCCAGACTTCCATAAGATAAGCAGTTGTGTTTTCGAAAACGAGTAATTTATCTCTCCCTTAAGTGATTGAGAAAGGGATTGCTAGAATTAATCTAGTATGTTGGCTTTTGTAACATCTCTAAGTGCTGGAATAGTTTCACAACTATGTCACCTTTTCTTCCTGGAAAGGAAAATCATTATATTTTAAAGCTCAAGTGAATGTCAGACTATGAAAAGGGTTACTTGACTTGGAAAATAAGGGCTTAATCAAGAGGTAAACTCTGTTCTTGAGCAAGGAAACCAAATTCAATATTAGGCAGCAGGCAGCAGTGAAACAAAATTTGCTTTTATGTAATTTTACAAATGTACTATTCAGACAAAAATAAAATTAGCTTGCCAGGCTTGCATTCTACCTTCTACCACTAACTTGGTCTTATGGAGGCATATCCTATGCCACTCGCTGGGTCTGACATTGGGCTGACAACTGCTCTCTTGACCCTTTTGTACAGTTCGTCTTCCATCAAGAATCATTTGCACCACCTCCTCGGCCCCTACTGCGTTCCCTTCACTACCACCCACTCTGCAGAAGTGCTGGTGTGTGATGCGCCAGCCTGTTATCTAAGCAGACAGGAAGCCCTAGTTTTCTTGGCAGGAGGTACTTGAGTGAGGAGGTGTGTGTGTCCTTTTCTTTGATAGTTAGCTGTTGTTCAACCAAGATTTTTGGTGGGTGTGTTTTTTCATTTCAAACTAAAATCATCCTTTTACAAGTATATCTGATTTCCTTTGATATTAAAAAGTGTGAGAGAAAAAAATGGATCAAAATGAAATAGTAAACAATCAAGAATGGAAAATGGGAAATTAATCATGAAGTATTTGTCATCTTTTAATTTCTTGGTTATGCTGCTAACTGGGCCTTTATGGTTCCTGCAGTCACAGAGATTGCACGTGTCTTTGATATTATGCTATATAAATACCACTAGGCAATCAGCATATGATCTTGAAACACTATTGCTCTTAGATTATACATTGCTAGCACTTTGACACAAGAGGTACTTGATATTTCAGTCAATGATCGCTTCACTGAGCACTATTCTTTTCACCCTCTCATCATGTTGTAAACTGTTTTCCAGCTCAGGCAGGCAATAATTGATCTCAATAACGTGGCTATGTATTTAACCACTGAGCAGCAACCAGATGTGAGGATATATTTCCAGTAAAACACTTGAATGGTGCCTATGGGGAAGTGAGGCTAATGTAGTTCCACCCTTGATGTAACAAGTGCTCTTTGGTGAGCTGCACTCTTTTAATGAGATTATTTGTAAGCATAATGTGGAGTATGGAAATGTGCCAATTGAAGAGTCAATGGGCGAGGAATAACAGGGATAATGAGTGACAGGGTGAGAGAAACAGGTAGACCAAGGAAATCAGGCACGTTGAGAACTCTAAAATCAAGTGAGTGAATTATAGCTGTAAGAGGATGTGTAATGGTAATTTTTGATGTGTTTTATACTCAAGAGTGTGAAAGTCACTTTATGCATTCTATTTTTGATAATTAAGAGTAATTTATAGGTTTGCCACCTTTCCTTTTTCAAGTGGCAAGCCTCCAGATCCTTTATGTACCATCATGCTGTAGAGTGAAGTGGCAAGCGAACAAGCTCTCAATAAGCATGCTAAAACTCCCAAGTTATCACCGTCAAATAAATGTTTTCTGAAATGACTCTGTTCTATTTTTTTCTTAACATAATTCTTTTTAGCAGAGATACCGAAGTTTACATCTGACTATAGTTTTTGTTTCTATTTTCTTAGTGAAAATATAAGGCGGAATGTAAGAGAACCAGAGAACAGATATCTGAAATAATGATTTTACAGTATCCATATTTATCTATCTTCTGAATATTTATGCATATAAATTATTGAGAAATATTTATTGAATCATCTCCTCAAGCACTTTTATCTCTTCCAGAGATAAAACTCTTTTTCTTTAATTGTTGTTTGTCAAACTATGATCTCCTTCCCTTTCTACAAGTCCATATTATGGTATGTTTTAAACTCTTGCTATTTAGTATAGTTTTAAATTTTGGATGGTAGATGGAGGAGGAGATTATATTAACAACAATGAGTAGGAATAAAACCTGTTGGCTTACATCTTTGTCAAGAAAAAATGGAGAGGTACCTGGGTGGCTCAGCTTGGTTAAGTGCCTGCCTTCAGCTCAGGTCCTTATCCTGGGGTCTGGATTGAGCCCCACATCGCATCAAGCTTCCTGTGCAGAGTCTGCTTCTCCCTCTGCCCTCTGTTCATTCTCCTTTCTCTTTCTCTCAAATAAATAAAATTTAAAAAAAAGAAAAAACGGAAAACATGTCTAGGATAGAGAAGCAATGCCAATAGGATGGAAAATTTTGTTGGTTTTGTCTGCTTTTAAACTTCTCAGAATATTTGGTTATATGGAGTCAGATGTTAAAGTTAATATCCTGCTTCTGATACTACATTAGAACTCTAGATGAATGGCTTAATCTTTCTGACCTTAGTTTCCTCTTTTTTTAATGATTATTGTACTTATTTCATAGATTTGTGGCTCAAACCTAAAATGAAATACTCTCTTCTTTGACTTGTATCCCAAGTATCTTTCCATATACTTACTGCTGCCTTCTGTCTGACCCATCATACAATGACCTTATAGGAAATTCCCCACAAAAATTATTTGACAAATGCCATTATTGTTACTTACGTTCTGTGCTTTCATTGAGTTTGAGACTGTGTTTATAACAACACATTGCCATCAACATGTAAAACAGTGCATTATGAAACATAGACACACACATACACACACTTTTCTACATGTCTTTATCAAGTAAAATGTGTTTCACTTAAGGAAAGAATTCCTTAAGATCTTATTAAAGGCATAAGACTATGATGATAAAAAATGGGGGTAATAGAGAGTCTGTGGAGTGGCTCTTACTGTAGACTTCACAAGAATAATCTTTAAGTTAGATGAGTCCCCATATGTAAATAACTCCTGTGTTTTGCTTCCTAGGGCAGTGTGCTTTTGTTGTTGCTTTTATTTAATCAAGTATAAAAGCAAAACTCCTCAATTGTAGTTACAGTTTTCATGGGAAAGCCAATTACAGAAAATAAGGCTAGTTTCTTATGTTAGTAGTTCCACATTGGAACTACAGACATCTAGAGAAATGCATTAATATTTAGGGAGTTTTCAGAAATATGTCCCTTTAAAATATCACTATACTCATGTTTGAAATGCCTTTCTCACATTAGTTCCTTTTGAATAATTCCATTAAATGTATGCTATAGTTTCATTATAAATCTTAATATTAATCTGTGCATATATAACTTAAAGTTAGTTTGCCCTATTTGCCACTAAATTGTAATCAAAGTTGAACTTTTTTTCCTCATCTTTGTTTTTCAATATGCAACCCTCTAAAAGAATATATGCCGGGATCCCTGGGTGGCGCAGCGGTTTGGCGCCTGCCTTTGGCCCAGGGCGCGATCCTGGAGATACGGGATCGAATCCCACGTCGGGCTTCTGGTGCATGGAGCCTGCTTCTTCCTCTGCCTGTGTCTCTGCTTCTCTCTCTCTCCCTCTCTCTGACTATCATAAATAAATAAATAAATAAAAATTTAAAAAAAAGAATATATGCCACCTATATGCATTAATTTTTTTGAAATAAACTCAAATAACCCATCAGTGTTTTAGCACAGCAATTTAAGAAGATTCTTTTAACTAATAAAATTGGGCAGACCACATGACCTCCTTATGCATAAAATATTTCCCATATTTTAAAGGTTAATTTCACATTAATTTGCCACAAATTCAGTTTTAAGCCCTAAAAAATAATTTATAAATAAAAATATGAACTTTTACCTTTTGAAATAATACAAAATACTCTTAAGAATGGAATGCAACAGTAGTATCATTTTTTTGTATCCACATAATATTTAATCTTTAAAAGTACTTGAATCTGCACATAATAGCTTTAATTGAAAGGGATAAAGCATATTATTAAATCTGGCAGACTAATTTATCATACGCATTTATAACAAGTACTTCAGATCATTCCATTCTTTCACCTGTCCATAATCAACATATTCCGTAAATTCATTGGGCTTTCTTCCATAATATTTTTCTGAACAGGCACTGTGAGCTTAAATCTCAAAGAAACAAAAGAATGTATTGTCATGAAAGGAAGAGGGAGTGCCTGCTTTAGCAACACTTGCCCTAAAATTGAACAATATAGGGAAGATTAGCATAGCCTTTGCACGAGGATATCACAAAATTCATGAAGCATTCCATATTTTTTTTAAAAAGGAGGAGGTATATTTGAACTATATCAGCTAAATTAAAAAAAAACACTTTTGATCAAACAACATCTCAACTTTGGTAAATTTATGATTCTAGCTTAAATATACATAAAAATATGAGGTCTTAATACTGAAGATGCTTTTTATTTTTTTAAAGATTTTTTTATAAAATTTATTCATTCATGATAGACATGAGAGAGAGGCAGAGACACAGGCAGAGGGAGAAGCAGAGGGAGAAGCAGGGTCCCAGGGGCCCAACGTGACTCGATCTCAGGACTCCAGGATGGCGTCCTGGGCCAAAGGCAGGCGCTAAACTGCTGAACCACTCAGGGATCCCCCTGAAAATGCTTTTTAATGGAAAAAATACTCTTTAAAGCTTTCTAAATGACATTAGAATCCTTAGATATTTTCTAAGAAATAAAAAGGTCAAAGCACCAGTGTCTTTTCTTCCATTGGCATACTGACTCAAATTGCTATAAACTTTCCTATTTAAGTGAATCATTCTACAAAATTCCATATAAAGTCCATTATCTGAATTGTGCAAGAAAAAACAATTATTGAGGAGCGAGAATTGGCACATTTTCAGTGACTGGATACGATAATAAATGAGACCATCAGACTCATTTGTCATGAAATGTCATCATCCACCTTCACATTCCTATTTATTCCCCTTACCATTGCTTCTTGGTAAACGTAGGAGGACAGTCCCTACATATGGAAAATTCTGATGTAGGTGGGCAGTGGCTGCTTTATAATTGCACAGAATCATTTCATCAAGTTAAAATGATAGAAGTATTATTTTTAAGTATAGTTAAAATGTAATATCTAATATGCTTCTGTTTTTATTCTTTTCATTCACTTATTCTGATTAATTTATTCAGAAATGTTATTTTTCTGAGCACTCTGATAGATGCTTGGCAAATAATCAGGAAAATGAAGCAAAATACCCATTTATATGGAACATCTGGTCACCCACTGTCCCCAAGTATGCTCACTCCATCATGTTATAAGTAGGAAAATCAGTAAAGTATCTTTTCCCGACATACTACTACTAATAATAACAATACAATTTTTACAAGAATAAAATTACTTTATGTAAATGAAACATCTAAATTCCTTTCTTGGCACATGTTAACGGTTAAAAAAGTGTTTTATATCAGTATAATTAACTATTCATTAAAGATTTGTTGATGAAGATAGTACAATAGTTTAAAATTTTATTTTGATAAACTTAATTTATTTCTGCTTTCAATTATCACAAAACAAAGTTGTTTACTGAATCTAATCTAATATTCACAATTCACATTATTCTTATGGTGGGGATTGTTTTTTAAAATACTCTTTTCAACACAGAGAAAAGAACTAGAAGTTTCAGTTCCTCACAGAGTGCATTAGATAATAAAAATTTCTATCCCCAAATCCTTAATTTTGAGGCATTTATCCTTTGAACCTGAACCAAAATTCAGGGCAAGCTGTGCCAAATGTTTACTTTCTTAATCAACTTGCTAAATATTTTTTCAGTTGGTGTTTTCAAGCTATTCAAAACTGAACAAATATGTCATGAATATTATTAGAAAGAAACACACTTCAACCATTACAGCAAAATCTTCACACATGCACGTCCACACACACAGATTTGAAACATGGATATTCTTCTGTGACTGAATAAATTTTTAGAAGGCAATATTAACACTAAGACATAATAAAACCTGTTCCTCATTCCTCATACAGTACGCATCTAAAAAATTGACATGGAAAACAGTATTTAGCCAAGTTATTCTATCAACAGCCTTAGTCTGCCTAGATAATTCAGGCTCTAAAGACCTCTCTTCAATAACAGATGGCCAGTGATAGTCTGAGCAAAACAGTTAAATTCCCCAAGCAGTGCTCTTGGCTTAGCCAGTGTATAAACTGTCTTAGTTTCTTTGGAACAAAAATTTACTCAATGCAATTTTACAAGTTTATAGATAAAGTGGATTTCCCAAGAGTACCACGTATTTTTGTGATTGGATCCAGAGCAAGAAATCAGATATAGCTAGAGGGATGTTGCATATAGGGTTCTAGTTCTCTGTACTTCAATTATCACCCAGAAGTTTTCTGACTTTACTTATTTGGTGAATAATTATTTTAAAAACTGGTCAAATTTTGCAACTTTGTGGGAAATTATTTCCAGATTTCTGCACGAAAGACAAAAGTATTATTGGAATCAGTTTTATAAAGTTGTGATTTTCCTCTAAGCAATATTATTTAAAAAGGAGCTTTAATTCAGGGCACCTGGGTGGTTCAGTCAGCTAAGTGTCCAACTCTTGGTTTTGGTTCAGTGAGCCAAGAATAAAAGTACAAGCCAAAGTAGGTAAAGAAGATTACCTGGGTCATATAGAAAGGCCAAGAATTAAGATATGGGGTATTTAAGAGCTAAGAACAACAATTGGAATGTTCAGAAATCATCTCTCTTTAAATATGACATGTAATTTAGACATAACTCATGACAAATTTTAGCATTGCCTTTAATGTTGGAAATAATTCATTTTTTCTGTTAAATAACTGTTGCTTAAAAATTTAAATTATGAGTACTACAAAGTATGATAATATAACTTATTCCATTCTACGTAACCGTTTCAGATTGTTAGATGGAAAAGGTTAGGAAAGTTGATTTGTGAAATGAAATACCCGGGAGAAAGCACAGATGTATATATGCAAATGAGTTTTAGTCTTGTATGATATATTTAGTAAAACAAGTTATCAATATTTTACTTAGTTTGTATTCTAATTAAATAGTATAAACAAAAATATAGTTTTCTACCCGAATTCTACTTAAATTTTTAAGTATTTGACAATTTAATTTTTTTATGTTGGAAAAGGAATTAAGGCAACTTTCCAGAGAAATATTTCTTCTTTAATTCCTCTGAATTGGATGTGTATAAGAGCCCTGAATGACTGACTGTATTAGACTCACATAAGGCATCTCAAGTTCTCATTTATAGAGATCCCTCTGCCCAAGCAGTCTGCTATTCTTCCCTAGGCAGTTAAACAGTTCATCATACTTACATGGATCAAGGAGCTAAAAAGGCTTTTGCTCACAACAGATTTCAGTTCTCTTATTTTCTGTGTATACTCTATCTCAGAAGGCCAAAGAATACAGTCCGTGGAAAGCATGTAAAGATTTCTGATGATCTCACTAGACAACCTATAGTGCCAGAATTTTTCCTCAGTGCTATTTCAATCTGATTTTATTTCTTGGGGATGCAAATACCTTCTGTTTGAATCAGTACTTTAACAATAAGCAACTGCTATGGTTCTAAACTTAGCTCTGACTCAAGAAAATAAAAGAAACATCAGGCTCCCTGCACGGACCCTGCTTCTCCCTCTGCCTGTGTCTCTGCCTTTCTTCTCTCTCCCTCTCTCTCTCTCTCTCTCTCTGAGTCTCTCATGAATAAATAAATAAAAACTTAAAGAAAAAAGAAAAATGAGGATTACTTAAAGACTTGAAAATAATAATACCTAGATATTAAACAAAAATAATTAATAATAAATAACATGTATAATAAACACAAATGCATGCGTATGTATATATATTCAGAAAAACAAGGCAAAATATCATTTATATGCAACACATGGTTGCCTAGTATGCACATATATACTCTTATTATGTTAGAAATAGGGAAATCAGTAAAATAGCTATTTTTCTTGAATCCTTATCATAACAATAATATGATTTGAATATATGTATATATTCCACCCATATTCTATATCAAGATTTTAGATTATGGAGAAAAAAAGCCCATTTTTGCTTACACTACTAATGCTATAGTTTTATATTTATATTGAAAAAGATATTTGTACTTGGCAACAGGATCTATGCAATAACATGAACTTTCTAGTAATCTTGGTAATATTATCACATTGAATGTGATATATTTCAGGTGGCTTGCGATCAACTCCTAGATCAGATATTTTCTCTAAATGAGTAGACAAATCACATGCTATTTTTGAGTATCAGGTTTAGTTCTCATTATCAGGCAAAGCATAAAGACAAAAAGTGATATGGAATAAAAGAGTGGAGACCAAGACTAATGGCAGAAATTGAATGAGTAAAGAGGAAACAATGCCTATGTTTACACCTGATGATGTCTGAAAATAGTTGTGGACAAGACAAGGTAAATTGATGGTAGTAGAGGTCATTCAATTCTGTTTTTTAACTAAATTAACCAATTATGATGATTAATTCTATGTGACTGAGCCAAAGGATGTCTGGATAGAAGGTAAAACATTATTTCTGGATGTGCTTGTGATGGTGTTTCTGGAAGAGATTAGCATTTGAATCAGTAGACTGAGTAATGAAAATCAGTAAAGGGAGGGCAAATTTTCTCTCTACTTGAGCTAAGACATCCATTTTCTCCTATCCTTAGACATTGGAGTTTCTGGTTCTTGTACCTTCAAACTTGCATTGAAATATGCCAAAGGTTTTTCTGCTTCTCCAGCTTATAACAAACATGTTGTAGCATATCCTGGCATCCATAATGTCATGAGAAAATTCCTGTAGTATATTTCCTCTTGTATCTCTTTATATATCCTAATGGTTCTCTTTCTCTGGAAAACACTAAAAAATAAACATATTAGTCCTGAGAGGCAGAGTGTTGCTGTAACATATATCTAAAAATGTGAAAGTGGTTTTAGAACCGGGTAAAAGATACAGGCTAGAAGAGTTTGGAGGTACATGCTAGAGAAAGCAAAGATTGCTGCGAATGAACAATTATATATATATACAATAAAAGTAATTTTTTAAAATTTTTATTTATTTATGATAGTCAGAGAGAGAGAGAGAGAGAGAGAGAGAGAAAGATTGAGAGAGAGAGAGGCAGAGGGAGAAGCAGGCTCCATGCACCGGCAGCCCGACGTGGGACTCGATCCCAGGTCTCCAGGATCGCGCCCTGGGCCAAAGGCAGGCGCTAAACCACCGCGCCACCCAGGGATCCCAATAAAAGCAATTTTTATGAG